TCGTCCTCTGATGCCTTTGGTGGACAGGCATCTAAGAATCTTTAGCATTGTTACTTATGGAAACTTTTGAGTGTTTTCATGCACCTGCTAGGAGCAGTTTCTAAAGCCCATTGCCCTGCTTGCAGCTGAACTATTCTGTTTTGTTTCATTGTTTGCACCCATCTCAGGCCTAAAGATCAACAACAGAAATTAGCCATTGGGATTGTTGCGACTAGGTTAGCAGTCTCTGCTTCCTTAAGTTGCAAGAGAAAAAAAATGTTAGGGCCTGATCCAAAGCCCATTGAAGTCAAGGGAAAGAATCCAGCTGATTTCAAAGGGCTTTGGATCAGACTCAGTACTTCGTTGCCTTTTTCAAACAGAAATTTCCTAATGATGCACTGCAGTACTGCTGCCCTCAGTCTTGTGCCTATCTATTAGGCTGCATTGACTGCCATTTTTGTAACTGTTACAACCAGTTTTGATGGGAGCAGTTAGCCAAAAATTCAGGGTCTTGTGGGTCATTGCAGTTAGGAGGAAAAATTAATGATGGAGTCAGGTGGTTTTTTTGACGCAGTCCTTGTTTATTTACAAAGTGTGTACAACATCCTGTTTCCTGGAACAGAGCAAGAATCAAACAAGAAACTGTGTTTTTATTCTCCGTTCCGAGCCCCTTTTCCAGTTAGCACTTAGCCCACAAGATCTCTCTTCTACAGCTTGTGTACACACAGAGCTGTTCCTATGTGTAGGAGCTAACCAGGAATAAGGCACTCTTGTTCTGGAATAAGAGTGTGGTCAGGAACAGCTACTGTGCTTTAAATTTACACTCTACCCTAATCCATGTTCACTTTCAACTATAAACGAGTCATTTGCTTTCCTTGGGGCCACATTCCCAGTGCTGTTTTTTTTCTTTCTCTCTCTCTCTCACTCACACTCTCTTCTCTACTACAAACCAGGGTCGGCTCCAGCCTTTCCCCCCCCCCCAACAAAAAAAAAAAAAAAAAGCCACGATCGGCAGCGGCACTTCAGCGGCAGGTCCTTCGCTCCTAGTGGGAGTGAGGGACCTGCCGCCCCCGAATTGCCGCAGGTGCCGCCCCTCTCCCTTGGCCGCCCCAAGCACCTGCTTGTTAAGCTGGTGCCTGGAGCCGGCCCTGTACAAACAATACCCAGTGAAACCTCTCCTTCCACATAGTTCATATTCCTGAGTGGCCTGATATGCATTCTTTTTTGGTGGTGACATGTGCCTGTATTTTGGTTGAAAGCCCCTATTGTTTCAGCTACCAGGTACCATTAAGGAACTTAATGGCGTCTTATAATTATCTTAGATAAGCGGCAGTTACCAACCCCAAGTTTCAATGCACTTTAGACTAACACATAACAATACATTCAAATATGAGTGTGAGCCTGCAGCTAAGAAAAGTGCACTGTATGTTTTGCAAAACTTCATTTTTTTTTCCTGACTGCCAAATTATGTCTGTAGGCAATTGGCTGTATTGGCAATATTTTCTTTTTAAAAGGTTGTATAATTCTTGCAAGAATGCTAGACTTTTGATGTGTTGAAGGTCACATCCAGTGGTTCTGGAGTAATTTTTATAGTGGGGGTGCTGAATGTGATGTATTTGGGTTGTTATTCCTACTTCAAGGCAGGGAGGGTGGCAGCACACCCAGCACCTGTAGTTCTAGCACCTATGGTCACATCTGTAAGTGTGGGGCCAGCAGTTTTGGAAAAGATAGCTATGCAAGAAGTTAATGGGTCCATCATGGTCTAGTGCTAACCAAGAGACATAAAACAAAAGTAATTAGGGACTTGATGAACCCATTGTATTTAATGGTGACAGACTTTTTCTCTCTTCCCTCTCCCCCTGCACTTATTTCACATATCTTTGGAAAATGAATTCAGTTTTCAGAAGCAGAGGGACTGACCTGGTGCTGAGACTGAGCAATGCTTTTTGAGAGATTTTGGAGATTTGAAAGCAGTCTCAAGACAGAAGCTCCCTGAACTTGGAAGGGGTTAGATGGATAGAGAAAAATACTTTGCTAGGAAGCATTTTCAGCTGAATATCCCTCTGCATTTTGTCTTCATTTAATGGAAACGACACACTCTGTACCTGCAGGCTGGTACACCACCAGCTCAAGAACACGGAGAGGTCATAGTTGTCTGATCTTTTCAGCTGCCTTGGAAAATTATTGTTCTTCTAGGTCAAAAAGCTATAGTACAATATCGCTGTACATGGCATTCAAAGCTTTCAGTCGGTGCCTGAGATACATCCTGTTCACTTTGCTTTAAAAATCACTGTCTGTGTTAATTGTACTTACATCATTTTGTCTTACACTCAGGAGTTACACTCAGGAATTTTTTAACACATCATAATTTTCACATTTTATTAGTGTGCCTTCCAAACAGTGTAAAAGTGACACCTCAGCATTATGATGCCTTCATTTGTCCTGCCAGCAGAGGTAAAAGTAAGCCGGTCCGGTCTGGTCCGGCATACCAGCAAGAGCCAGTACATCGTGCCGGACCGGACCAGCTTCCCCAGGCTGGCGATTTAAAGGGCCCGTGGCTCCCTGCAGCGGCCTGATCCCTTTAAATTGTCTCCCGAGCCCCACTGCCGGGAGAGGCGGGGCCTTTACATTCCTGGGCCCTTTAAATCACCCTTGAGTCCTGGGGCTTCCAGCTGCCTCTGCAGCTGGTAGCTCCGGGGGTGATTTAAAGGGCCCAGGAATGTAAAGGCCCCGCCTCTTCCGGTTGAGGCCACGCCTCTTCCAGTTGAGGCCATGCCCCCTGCTCAGGACTCCGGTGTACTGGTAAGTCCTTTAAGTAACTTTCACCCCTGCCTGCCAGGATGACAAAAAGGTGGGTGGGAGACCTCAAACTGTGAGATATTAAGGCAGAGAAATAGTCTTAAATATTCAGCCTCTGAAGTAAAAACGAGAAGTTGTGGTTGCTTTTGAGCTTCAAGTGCCCAGCCTTTTATTGCGAAATTGCTATGGATGATAAAATAATAAAACATTGTAATATAATACAAGATATAAAATATTGTGTAATATGTGTGCGCACATATATAGAACATGGGCTAAGTATTATTTTAAATCCCAGAGGAGATGCTGTCATTTAAAACCATGAATTGTCACTGTTGTGAGGTTATACAATACATCTATTCCAAAGGGCCGTGGCATTGCCATCTTTTTGGTGGCTCCATACCCCAGTGTTAGGACTCCTATACTCTCATTTCTTTCAAACAATGTGTGAGCAGGGGCCATTTCCAACCTGCAAACACAGTTCACACATTTTTAGAGGCCATACTGTGACCCCTTACTGGGGTTGTGTTTATTAACACAGAAATTAACAACAATGAACACAAAGTTCAGTTCCCACTTTCTCAATAAAAGGCTGGGCACTTGAAGCTCAAAGGGAACCAAAATGTCCTGTTTTTACTAGAGGCTGAATATTTAAGAATAATTCTCTGCCTTAATATCTCACAGTTGGAAAAGGTATCCCACCCACCTCTTTGTCATCCTGACAGGTCAAATGAAGGCATCATAATGCTGAGGTGTCACTTTTACACTGTATTCACTATTTTCAATCACTATATTCAGCTAGACTAATAGGCTGCTTACCTTAGTGCATCAGCAGAAACCACTTAACTCTTTCCTACCAGAATCAATACCTCCTAGCAGGGAGAGATGTTTCTGGCAAATAGTGCCAGCCTATTATACAGAGCCTAAATGCCAGAGGCGGTGGCTGCTGCTGCTGCTACTACTGCAGTGATTTAAAAATATAAACTGTGGGAGTTGCTGGGTTTATGCCAAACCAATCAAAATGGAGCTGCCATTTTATTTGGTTTCCTCCCACATCCTCAAAAGCCCTAAGGCTCTGATTTCCCATTTCACCTGACCTATGATTTAAACCACCTCTGTGCATCCCCATGATCTGGGGCTTTGAGACCTGACAGCTGCTCTACATTGTATCAGCCATAATAGCTAGAGTACATCAGCTGCAACTACTCCACATAGCCATGCTCAGTCAAACTCCTCATGCAAACTGCTGGGAGACCTGGTCGTGTAGAGCAACACTGCACTAGGGAGTGGCATAAACTGGCCATAAGGCAACAGAGATTCAGCACCAGGCATCTTCTGCTTGATAGGACACATGTCTGGCCTTCCAACAGGGTTCTGTAGTAATCCCCTAGCACAGACATGTCTTGTATTGCAAAAATGCCCTCTGCATGCTGTAAGAGGCTAAGATGCAACTCCCTATGGAATGTAACAGGAAACATAAATAAATAGCAGGAGTTGCCTATTAAAGCATCTGTCTGAGCAATGCACTTTGTTACAATTAGCTTGAGTGATAATGACAGAGAACATCAGTGAACACTTCTATATGGCTACATTTCCTTTGGTGTCAAGTATCAGAGGGGTAGCCGTGTTAGTCTGTATCCACAAAAACAACGAGGAGTCCGGTGGCACCTTAAAGACTAACAAATTTATTTGGGCATAAGCTTTCCTGGGTAAAAAAAACCACTTCTTCAGATGCCTTTCCTTTGGTGGGTTCAATTTATATCCGCATTTTGTGTTCACATTGGGTATGTAGCTGCAAATCGGAATGTTGGTTCTCCTCTAACTACCTAATTGCAGATCCAGATCAGGTAGCTGGAGGCAAAAGTACTTACATATTTGCCTGCAGTTCTTTTTGCGGGCGCAAAAACTCAAACACAAATTTTGCAGTTGCAGATTGCACTACCAATACTGAAACTTGGCCATTCTGAAATTTTTCCCAAACTGTCTATACCTAAACGTTAATATGTTCTGCTGAGTGAGGCAAATTACAGCGCCGTCCATTATTTCATAATCTGTACATTGCATTACTCATAATCTGCACATTAATTCATTCTTTGCTGATTAATTTGGGTTTTCTGTACATGTTCAGCTTGCATTACATTAACTCATAGTTTGCTGGTAAGTGTGTGCTTTCTATATGTGTTCAAAAATTCTTTAATTCAATTTCTCTGTTTCTTCTCATACAGTCTGAGAGCCAGATATGCAACTCAGTCTAATCACAGTGGAATTGCAACCAGTCAAAAAAAGACTTCTAGGTCAGTTAATATCTCTCATTTATTGCTTATTAGTGATACTCAACTGAGTCAGTGCCCATTGGTATTTTATTCTTTGGACATAAGTAAACATTGCAATGTGTAATCATGCAAGTTTTGTACCACAGAGCTTTGTCATGGGAAAGCCTTGCACCTGACTGGCAAAAGCAGATTTGTACAATACCATTAGCCATATTTCTGATTGTTATGTATCGTGCATCTTTGTGTCCTGCATGTAAATGATCAGATTTGAGGGGTTAGAAGGCTTAGGGATTTAGTAAAGCTTTTGATTCAACTTCTTCCTTGGGTCACAAGTGAAAATGAGTTTGGAAGGCCATCCTAGCTCCCAAAGGACCCTGTGTCCACATCACAAAATCATCACACAAGTCTAGTTCATATAGGGTTGTCAATTTTAGCGGGACGTATTCCTGGAAGCTTCAGTCCATGACATAGTCTTTAATTAAAGATTAATCTTTAGTTCCTGGAGACTCCAGAACAATCCAGGAGGGTTGGCAATCCTAAATTCCCGAACAGAGGAGCAAAGATGTAGCGGACAAACAGTCACAGACTGTGTCTGCTGTCCCTGGAGTAGCATAGCTAAGCCCCTCTTCATGAGATACTTGGGATTGGAGACACAAAGGACCTCAGCTAAAGCTTGAAGTGTATTTGATAGAACTGTGTGCAGAAACTCACACTTTCCCTGCCTGTCCTGTTGTCCACTTGAGCCAGTGCTGCTAATCTTTCACTTTCATGACTACTAAATCCACAAACAGATTTTTAGAAGAAAAGAATTCAAGTCCCTCTTGCTGTTGTAAGTTTGTGTTTATGAGAAGCAATGCCTTTATTAATCACACTGTTTGCTGTACAGTTCATTGCTGAGAACAATGAACTATAAATAATGTAATCCAGAATAAAGCTTGCATTTCATAATGTGGTGCACTAATACAATCTGAGTGACTGGTGATAGCTTGCAATGAGCCATTCCAGAGTGTAGTCGCTTTATGCCTGTGATCATAGGTCTTCAGTCTCATTTATTGCTGACACTACTGTCTTGTCCACCATTCAGCATGTGTAGGCTAACAGTTTTATTGTCTAATACTTTAAATCTATGACAGTGTTGCCAAGGCCCTGATCAGAGGTATGTGACTTGTCCCTTATCTGTTACTTCCTACTTTGCATTTCCTTGGTTGCTTAAAATGATTCTGCAAGGGCAATTTGAAAACTGAGTTCAATTAATGACGGTAAATGAAGTAAATTGGAAAGTATGTAGAGCAAGTGACCTCATGTATAATGTGCTTACGGCTGCAAGTTCGAGGATTCTGGCATGTAAAATATACATTTAAGTAATTTACATTTTAATAGAACAGATGAATTTCCAGTGTTGCACATGCCTTCTCGTTGCCTTTTTTTTTTTTTTCTCATTACCTTTGACAAATGATCTCAGGGCTCTGACTGCCTGTCAAATTAGGGTAATGAGAAAGAGCAAATGGATTTTTAAGTTTGTTTTAGTGCATTCTTCAGGGAACAGAAGATCACTAGAATTCATGGGTCATGGTAAAGGTTAGAATGCATACAGCTGTAGAGACAGTCTGCTCTGGTCTCAGCACAGAGACTAGTGGGGCAGGCTGGCAGCCAGAATGAGCCATAAAAATAATGAATGGATTAGCTCTCTGAGGCTTAAATCAGTAATGTAACAGAATGTGGAGCTCTTTATATGTGTTATCTAATGAAACTAAAATGATTTCAACATTTTTGATGTACCAATGTGTTAAGCAAAACATTTATAAAAATCTAACATTTTGGAGTCCTTTATAATGTGATTTCTTTCCTCTCTCCAGCTATTGCCCTTTCATGATGCATCATATGATGACACTAATATCATTTGAGAACTCTACAATAATTCATGCTGTTGTTAGCAAAGTCTTTGAAATTACTCATCACATTTGCATAGTCCATCAGTAACCGAATATGGGTATTATATCCCTGTTGCAAAAGTCTGTTGATGATCTGAGTATTTTATTATGTGTTGTATAAAAAGGGGGGGGGAGTTATATTTGCAGTGGTGATGGAGGAAATTTGAAGCAGACTTGTATTAAATAATCATATGCCAGAGAATTGAATCAAGCAAAATACAATGATGCTTTATACGTGCTACAGACAATGGTTCCTAATTTTTTCATAACACTACTACACAGTAAGGCTCAGATGGTGGCAGCAAATAGTAACAAATGAACTGTATAGTCTGCATTATATTCTTATATAGGGCATACATACATCTGCAGTATCTACCTTAGAATATTTATTTTCAACATTCTGCATTTGAGATAATAAATATGCAGACCAATCTGAAATATAGTTAGAGCTAGAGCCAATAGCTATTCAAAATGTATTTGAGTGCAGTGGATTAGTAAAAGTCTAGTTATTGTGCTGTAAATGCAATTAACTACAGTATTTACCAGATTAAGAGCGTTTGGGATATTTCTTCAAAATATTTTATTGTTATGTTCTCTAGTCAATTTTATCGTATTTACTCCAGAAAACAGACTGTGATATATTTAAGTAAAATATTACACTGTAATAGTATATGTGGGTGAATCTGTTTTAGCAATGTTAATGGCAAATGCAAAGCATCCTTATGTTTCCTGTGATGCTATAAAACATCTTTTTCCCTTTTGTGTGTGTTAGGATTAACTTTTATTTTCATTGACCCTGTTGAATCTAACTAACTTGATTCCTGTCATTCATTGTCATTATGTGAAATCATTGTTATTCATTTACTGGTTCCATACTTTGGTCTGATACTTGACAAAGTGTGTGTTCCATATGTTTGCATCTTGTACAACAAAGTAATTTCTGATTATACTGTTCTAGGCTTCCAGGGCCCTCAAGGGTGCCAGCTGCAGGCAGCAGTACCAAGGTCCAGGGAGCTTCTAATTTAAATCGGAGAAGTCAGAGCTTTAACAGCATTGACAAAAACAAGCCTCCACAATATGCAAATGGCAATGAAAAAGGTAAGTTTTGAAAAGCCACCAGTAACTGTTCATAGACAACACACACAATCTGAAAGCAGAAAAGAAACAATCCCATGTGTAACACAAAAATCATAGTTAGAGATGGGCCAGGAAGGTGGTGTTGAGTTTAGGTTCAGGTTCATAGCTGAATCAGGGCTAAAATGTGGGTTTGGACTAATCGGCACTGAAATCTTGTGAACTGTTATTGCAATATTTTTACCCCCATTGGTGAAAATCTCACGAGATTCGCTGAAGTAAAAGATGACTTGATGTTTCATGGGGGAAATATTGAGTCTGATCCAAATCCCATTGACTTCAGTGTGCTTTGAGTCAGACCGTCTGTGGAGTCAGCAGTTCGTGTGGGATTTGGAATCTTCAGGTTGCATATCCAGACCAGGACCATAATCTGAGAAGTGAGTTTGGACCTGCGGTTTCAAATTTAAACCCATTTTCTGAAAAATTTGAAGGGGTTAAAATTCAAGTTTCATATTTTGCTTCATCTTTAATTACAAGCTGCTGTTCTATCTACTGATTTAATTTGTTCTCCTCTTCATCCCCATCACTTCTTGACCTCCTCCCTGGCCTGTGGAGCAGTTTTTCTAGAAAATGTCCCTCTTTATTCTTTATCTCAAGAAGAAGAATTTGAAAATTCAGTATTCTGAGTTGTGTAAATACTCCAGGCCCCCTTTCTTCTCTGTGTAATGAACAACATTCTATTCATATCTCTGGGTTAGAATATAGTTGAAAATGATACAATATGCATAATACCCATTTGCATCCTTGGGGTCTGTGGGAGGAACAAATATGCAGTGAATGTTCTTCATCTAAGCAACAGGCAACTATCCAGATTTTTTCTGCAAAATTCTGATGAACATGCTTTGCCCCTAGCAGCATCTGAAGATATAAATCCATCCTTTCAATAGTTATTTCATTATTTTTACTATCAGGGACGAGTATTTTGGATAGCTCTGTAGTTGATTTTATTTTATCATCAGCTTGCTTATGGCAAGACATGCAGACTAAATCCATAAAGCATACAGGATATGTACTGAGCAGACAGTATATAGTTCACAAATACTATAGTGGACTTATGCAGTAGGAGGTGTGGCTGCTTGAGTGAAGGTATGTACAATAGTTTAGGTTTTAGAAATGCTATGTGATTTTGACATCAGTTTGCAATTGAAACAACAGCATATGGAGGAATGAATGATTAAAGGTGGGAAACTTTTTTCCATAGTTGTAGATACCAGTTTTTCTCAGCTTATTGCTTGCAAACTGTCTTTGGACTGCTAAGACTTGCCTTGCAATGCACGTTTATGTGGCTTTTTCTGTGATGGATTTCGTTACTTTCCCATTTCTTCCCTGCACAGAATGAGAACCTTGATCAGATTTTTAGTGAAGTCATCACTTGCAAGAGGATAAGGGCTGCTTTGTTTGTATATAATCGTTCGATTCATTTTATAGGATATAGAAAATGTAATGTTGCATAACTACCGAGTACTATATTTCAAATTTTCTGTCTCTGCTCTTTTTTCTTACTTCAAATAACAGCAGCAAAGATCTGAGTACATTGATTTGATATGGAAACATAAGCCAAGTACAAGTTTATTTTAGAGACATATATATAAAAGCAAAAGTTAATGAGGGAAAACAACTATAGTGAGTGCTGGGATAGCAAAATATTTCATCTAAGATCCTAAAAGGACAAACAGAAAAGTGTATCAGAATCCACCATATCAATTCCTTGCCCAAAGAGAAAAATAACGGCACCAAAATGTTTTTAAAGTTAATTACCAGGATATGTATATTGTTTAATGTTTCTGTGACAAGTTTAAATAGCAACTTTTTCATATCTAGGAACTTGTCTGGCATTAATGTATAGAAAAAATGTATGAAACAAACTTTCTTACTAATAGTACAACTACTAAATAATAATATTTAGCACTTGCTACTAAAGTAACTTGAAAAGTTTTTTTTTCCCACAGCAACACAGCACAGGGAACTGAAAGCTCTATTTTTAATGCATTGTCTTTGCCATGGGCACTACAACAAGACAAATTAATGCTAGCAGCCCAAGTAGTACCAGTGTATAGTGCTTTCAAAATATTAAGTGACCATTCTGATAACATTCCTGTATGGTAAGTATGCATGTATTACAGACAGATAAGCTGAGGCAGAGAAGTTAAATGGCTTGCACAAGGAAGTCATCATGTGAGTAGGCATCAGGACTCAGGAGCTGCGGACTGCCAGGCCTGTGCTCAGACCAATATTAGTGCATAGTTCTCTTTAGTATGACTCAATATATGCTGTATGAATTTGAATACATTACACAAGGTTATTTACACAGTACATGTTATCAGGAATTGGTAATAATTGAAACTCCAGTTATTGTATAATTAACATGGTTTCCAACTCAGTTACTGTCAGGGATGGACATAAATTTACAGATTCAAGTGCCCAATCCTGCTCCAATGCAACCAAGAATGGATCCAAAATCAGATCTGGCCCAAACCTTTACTCACAACTTGACAGTTCTTGGACCCTTTTTGAGGTTCATTTGTAACTTATAAATAAGTAGGGGTGTATCCCATAAAGAATAATTCACATGAGGCAAAATCCCCCCCCGACCCTGTTGAAGCCAATGGGAGTTTTGCCATTGACTTCAGTAGAGCCAGAGTTTCACCCACAAACTCCTTCAGCCAGAGTCAGAGTTTACTTTATGGTAGCTTTGATTAAGACATGTGGGCCCTGAGTACATAACACATATCAAAAATCTAAACAGGCCAATGCTAGGAGATTGCAGTGAGTTGGCTCATATGGGCTCAATCAGCTGATCTTTTTCTTTTCTTCCCTCCCCTGGATGCTACATCCTTTGGAGGGATTTCAGTGAGAGTATATGTCTTAATGGAATGTCTGCTTCTGAAAGAATAAATGAAAAAGAAAATAATAGAAATAATTCTTTCATTTTGAAATAACAAGGATGAAGTCATTTAGATTAATTTCCCCCTCACACTTCTTAGGAAGAACAGCCCTGCAACATTATACGCTTCTCCCCAGTATGGACTTGTTGCAGTGCTTCTCAGACTGTATTTGGTGTACCACCTTCAGAATTTCAGTCAGTGATAGTATACTTTAAACTAAACCTCGTACAACCTGACTGCAGCCCACTTACCACCAATGTTACATGTCACCACACTTTGAGAATCACTGTTCTACTGCATCTATAGCACTCATTCTGCGGAAGGACTGTACAGTGTAACATTGCATGACTTGGAAAGGTAAATTTTGTCAGTTGAGAGTAGGAAAGAACAAATGTTCTGATTAATGTTCTCACCACATCGTGCTGAAAAAAAGACTTTTAGAATTTGGCTATTGGCCCTAAATTATTTGTGTTGTGTGGGGTTTAAACTGAAATATTTTCACTGTAGTGAAACGGAGTCATATGACTATAACCGCACTTAATACTTAAAAAAATGCCTAATAAAGGTAAATGCTGAACTTCTGGCTATGAATGTTTGTAATATAAGATATTGTTACCTATCTTTGGGGCAGGCATATGTAACTCTCCCATGGAGATTTTCCTAAGAAGCAAAAAGCATGTGGGGTGGGCAAACTGGTTTGAAAGTGTTTGGTTATGATTTCATATTTTCATTGTCAACAATCTATTGGCTAGTCTAAGCTGCTATCTAACCTTCTCACAACCCCTATTGAATTGAATGGGGTCACTCATATGCAAGACATTTGCTAAACTTAAAAAAAAAAAAAAACCCTTATCTCCCTTCTCATATATTGACTCTTACAGAACACTCCAATTTTACTGAGTAAACACACCTTGAAAACCCTTGTCACATCAGACTCCCTTGTTAACTTTCCCCTTTTTTTTATGTGTAGTCACTCACCCTTTAGAATATTTCTAAAGCTACTTGATACTAACCCTCCCTCCCCTCAAAATACATAAATGCATTGTGAGATTGCATCTTTGGGACCATCATTGCACCGCTCACAATTACATTTCCACTCTGCTTTTATTCTGTATAACTCTGACAAATTGGCCGTGCACGTAGGGGCAAATACAGTGCCTCACCTCCATGAAGGCAATAGAACAGGTGTGGTTGTAGCACATAAAGGAGGACCGGGATTGTGCAGAAGTATGCACCTCTGTGTGGTCTGAAGTCCTTTTAGGTGTCAATGTAGTGACACATGTTACAGTAGACACATGTTAAAGGTGAACAGAGCTATTTCAGCCAGGGGATGAAGTCACCTTCACAGAGTGGCTCCCCAGCCATTCTGTGGGCTTGTGGAGAAAATGTCTATACCTGTACATTTCACAAGCCCCTAGCTAAGCTACAACTGAGGCTTTGGTCCTGAAACGTTACATGAGAGATTCTGTTATATTAGTATTATTAGGCCTGTATGTTTGTCCTGGTCTCATTTTGTGTCCATTATTTTGTTACACACCTTAGGACAAATCTGACATTGGCTACTGTCAGAAAGTCTGCATATAGGAGAGGTAGTGCAGGATGGCAGTTCACTATGCCAATCCAAGTCTCTCAAAAGCAAAAATCCACTGTAAGATTATGCTTAGGGGTCAGAGCATTCTTCTTGGTGTATGCTCCTGATCCAGTAACATATGCTTATATACATATCCCCCTGTCATGTGTCCCTTTACACAACCATATAATCATTGTTCTCCTAGCAGGAAAAATCTGAGCAGGTAAGTGGAAGAAGAAAGTTGTGTGGGTGGCTGTTTCTGATTAGCATATATGTAGGCAACAACTGAACTGTCGTTTGTACTGAATTGTATATGCAAACTTCCATATGAGTTGGTGATTTACAAGTTTAAGATGTAAACGTAAAAATAAAATGTAAAAATTAAATACACGAATATATCACTCAGTATCAGGAAACAAATCTTTTTATTCTACTTCATTATCCATAAAGATGGACTATTGGTATACAGCTATACAGCATCTGTTTAAGATGGAGATAGTTGGCCTGAC